GCCTCGGCCACGTGGAGACGTTCGAGCATGGCAGGCGCGAGGTGCGCGTCCCGAGCGCGCCGATCCGCCTCGTCAAGAGGTCCGAGAGCAAGATCGTGCAGGAGCCCTCTCAGCCCTCTTAGCCCTCCCCGCCCTCGTAGCCCGAGTACCCCTTGTAGTTTTTTTTGCCCTCTTAGCCCTCTCAGCCTTTCCAGTCCTCCTATCCTTCTTAGCCCTCTTAGCTCTGTTAGCCCTCAGCTCTCCCTGCCCTCTTACCCTTTTTAAACCTTTCAGCCCTCTTAGCCCTCCTAGCCCTCTTAGCCCTCCTATCCCTTCTTGCCCTCTGAGCCCTCGTGGCCATCTTAGCCCTCTGAGCCCTCGTGGCCCTCTTAGCCCTCTGAGCCCTCGTAGCCCTCGTGGCCCTCTTAGCCCTCGTGGCCCTCGTGGCCCTGTGATCCCTCGTGGCCCTCTTAGCCCTCGTGGCCCTCTTAGCCCTCGTAGCCCCCGTGGCCCTCGTGGCCCTCGTGGCCCTCGTGGCCCACGTAGCCCTCGTGGCCCTCGTAGCCCTCGTGGCCATCTTAGCTTGCTTAGTCCTCCTGGGCCTCTTAGCCCTCTTGAGCCCTCGTAGCCCTCTGATCCCTCTTAGCGCTCTACTACGGGCCGCCTGAGAGGAGAAGCGGAAATTGCACGACGGCCGCGACACCCAGGCCGACCAGGCGCAGGGGAACGATCTCCTCAGGGAGCTCCAGAGCATCATCGAACTCCCGAGGGCTACCGGGGAGTACGTGCCCCTGGGGGCGCCGTCACCGAGCCGCCCAACAGAGCCGCCCGTCACCCCGCAGGCAGGGTTGGTGGCCCCCGACGCTAGACAGCCACCCTCGGCAGACTCGTTAGGAATATTTTCTGGGCTGTCCCTCGGTTTCGCGAGGTCCGCCCAGCCGCCGCCCCAGACGGACGCCGGCGGCAGCCTCACGGGCAGCAAGCGCGGGAGGAAGGGGAGGGGCAAGGGCAAGGATCCGAACGTTGCCCAGCCCGGCGATGGATGTCGCGCGACCACCGGCACCGGCGCTTCCACCGGCGCTGGCCTCGCAGGCCGCGCAGACCCAGGGGGCAGCGACAGGGGGGGACTGGCCTAGGGGCCGGACATCGACCTCCAATCGTTCAATTATCGCCGATCGGGGCTTGGGTGCCCCGCCTTGCCCACGAACGCGCGAAACCGTTATCGGGGGCTTATCGCCGATCCATCGGCGACGCATCGCTTGGGGGGCGAGGAGACGGACGCAGATGACCCTCGGGGATGGCGGGCTCCAGGTTGGCGGTGCCCGAGGCCCCCCCCTTCCCCCCCCCGCGAAGAATCTTCGTTCGTTTTCGTTCGTCCCTCTTCGGTCGTTATTGTCGGCGCGCAGTGCCGGGGGGGCCCCCCTCTTGCCCCCCGCCCGGGGGGTGACGTAGCCTCCGTCGGGGGGGCAGCCCCGGGGGCGCCGTGCTCCTGGGCGGCCTGTGCTGGGGTTGGGATTTTGTTGGATATCCTCGGTCCCCGCTCGGTGTATTTTCGGGCCGGGCGAAAGGGGGGGATTGGGAAAGGGGGGGGTACGAAATTTGCTGCATGCAGCTGGTTTCGGTCTCACCGAGGGGGCCATTTCTCGATGCATAGCCGCCTCCGGCGCCGGGAGGCGCCGGGAAAATCAGCTACGTGAGCTGATTCTCAAACCCCCCCTTTGCTATCCCCCCCTTTCGCCCGACCCGATATTTTGGCCCCTTCCCCACCAATGGGGCATGTTCGCCGTGCCCCCAGGAGTTCAGCCGCCGCCCAGCCTCTCCAAGACGGGCCCCAAAACGAGGGACTTGATCACCACCGCGGCCGATGTCGCGAAGGAGTTCGGAGCTGCGGGCAAGGACAACGACCTCTGGTTTGGTGACATGTGGAGGAATCACACCCGATACCTCAAGCGATTGACGGATGACTTGGATGTGAAAATCGGGACTTTCGGTGATGGCCAGGAGACGGAGGCGTTGCCCTTCAAAAAGTCTCGGAAGATTGTTACCGCCATCCATGCCGTCTGCAAGCAGGTGCAGCAAGGCGGCTTCGACGCCCCGGCCCTCGGCCAGGTTCTTGATCAACAGGCCGTCGATGGGCTCAACTTAACTTCGCGTCCGTCCGACCACCCCGAGAGGGCCCCAAGAAGGCGGGCGGGTCGCGGGTGGATCAAGATGGCTCCCAGACGGGCCCGCGAGGGGCCCCACATGGGCCCAAGAAGGGCCCAATAGGGCCCCAAGAGGGGCCCCGCCAAGTCGAACAAAACGGGGTCACCTGGGCCTTCCTGGGGCCATCTTGGAGGGGCCCTCTGGGGCCCCTCTTGGGGCCCTCTTGGGCTCATCTTGGGAGGGTGAGGAGGACAGGGCTCTGGGGTTGCTCGGGGGGCGGTTGGGCGGGGTGAAGTTGATGCGAGCTCGCCGTCGAACGCCGTCGAGGCGGCCATCTTGGGTGTCGAGCCGGTCTGCGAGGAGCCATGGCCAGAGCATTTGAAGAGGGCCCGGCACTGCTTGCGGGCGAGTTCCAGCACGGACCCAGCGACGTTTTGGTCTCTTTGCACAATCGGTTCTCTTCTGACTGCAGGGTTTCCCGAAGAGGAGGCCAAGCGTCAGGCTCGCGATCTGGTGTCTGCGAAAATCTTGGAGATCATCGGGAAGCCAGATGTCGACCGGGCCCATGGCGCATTGCAGCGCTTCCTTCCGTTGAATTGCGTCTCGGAGTTCAAGTTGGACGTTGGTTTCCCAGATTTGCACAACGACTTAGACACCATGGCTTTGGTCGTGAATTTCATGAAGGTCCCGTTCCATGCCCCTGTGGAGTGCTTGCCCGTCGAGATTCATTACCAGGGCTTGACAGGCGCGGTCAGAATTGAAACGCCGACGCTCGCCATCAAGGATGACGTGAACACGCAGGCTTTCGATTCCTTGCAGGCCGCTGTTGCAGCTGCGTTTGCTTCTGGGACGCTGCCCAACGATTTGTGCATGTCCCCAGCTGGCACTACCGTGTGTAAGCGCGCGTCGGCGTACCAGGAGAGAGCGACCACCTACCTCAAAGACTGCAAGGTACTCCGGGAGACGCTCGAGTCGCTCTGCATGGCCACCGAGGACGCTTTCTATTGGATGGACAACGAGCGCATCGTCTGCGAGTGGTTCCTCCAGAGGCTGTCCACGATCTCGCAGATAGAGCACTTGCCCCACAGCAAGTATCTTCCCTTCGCGCTCTCGGACATCGCCATGGACTTCATCTCGCGCTTGTTCATCAAAGTTGGCAGGACGTGCCGCCAGCTCATCAGGGGGTACCTGGCGGGCGAGAAGCCGGAAGCAGCCCCATGGAAGGCGTGGGACAATATGATTCAGACGGTTGTCGCCTTGAGGGGCAATGACACATTCGTGCCTTTGTTCATCCAACCGACGGGCAAGGAAGATTTGTCGACGATGGGGGGCTTCTTCGCTTTTGTCGAGGCCCTGGACGTGCTGATTCTTGTCCCGGCTGACATGCCCTTGGAGAAGGCAACGAAGTTGACAGACGTGGTGACTACGTTCCATGAGAATACCGAATGGATGGCAAAATGGTTTCCAGACCTTAAGGAAGGCCTCCTGGAGTTCCAGAGCAAGAACGATTGGTTGAAGCCAGCGTTCGTGGCAACGCACATTTCGGCGGTCCTGAGCAACGAGGTGAAGGCTTTCGAGTCGAAGGTGGCCATGTTGACGCCGGAGCTGACTGGCGTCGTCTTCAAGTCCGACATGGAGGAGGCGGAGCTAACGAAGTTGGAGACCTTGGTGTACAACCACGACGAGGTCACCGAGGCGTCGGCGCTCGCCGACAAGATCAACGACCCCGTGTTGAAGTCAGAGATCGTCTATATCGACGCGTGGTGCCGGGCGCGGTCCATGGGGGCGGCTTGCCTGCGGTATCTTAAAAAAGACATCTTCGACAAAGACGCCGTGACCATCTTCGGCGAGTTCCAGGCGCAGGTCAACAACGTGCAGAACGCTGCGGGCGTTGAGAACATGGTTCCCTGGGAGGGGGATGTCGAAGGCGGCGCTGGCGCGGGACCTTGGAGTTTGAGGTGCCGAGCCCGAGGTGGCACATCAGACTCCAAGGTCTCGTCGCCTCGCGGCTAGCCTTCGGCGTTCCATGGAGGCTAAAGCTTTTGATGACGCTGAGGATCCATTGCGGGCGGTGAGGCCGTTCGCAGGCATATTCAAGATGCCGGGCGACTACACTTCGTTCGTGCAGAGTTGCTCTACGATCGTAGAGCTTGGCAATGCGAAGTGGACTGACAAGATCACCACGGAGACGACGGGGCTCTTGGAGTGGTGCACGCCGTGGTGGGAGAAGCGCGGTTCCATGCTCACCGAGGTCCAGCTGATCCTGGCCATGGTAAAACACCCCCACTACAAGGATCTTGGAAGCCGCGCGACCTACCTCAGTTCACTGTGCACTCAGGCGAATGCCATGAACAAGGTGCTGAAGGGGGGTTCGGTTGATTCGAAAGTCATCTCGGCGGCTCAGAAGGCTACTAAGACGGCCGTGGACACGGTGGTGATGACCAACGTGATGTTCAAGTTGAAGGTCGAGTTGCCGAAGCTGACGCCCCAGAAGCAGTCGATCGAGGCGGATGAGCTGAAGTCGCTCCTGACCCGCAAGAACGTCGACCCGGGGCAGGACGTCTGGGACCACATCGCCAAGGTCATCGCGCCGGGCAGCGCGGGGGCGCAGGCGCGGATTGATGGGGGGAGGGGCAGCGGCGGCAGCAGCTGGACCAGAAGGAAAAGGAATGATGTGGACGAGGATGGGGGATTGGGGGGCATGCCAGGGGGAGGAGAAGCACGGGGGTAAGGGGGTGGAGGGGAGAGGGGGATGAGAAGGACGAGGGGGGGAGGTGGGCAATGAGGAGGAGGAGAGGGGAGGAGGAAGAGGTGGATGGGGCGGCGACGCGGACGACGACGATGAAGGGCGCCCCCCCCCGCTCGGCGGCCCCGAGGCCGAGGAGGCGCCCGAGCCGCCGGCGAAGAAGGCCAAGAAGAAGGGTGCCGCGGCGAAGGCTGGGGCGTCAAAGCCCCCGGAGGACGCCGGCGCCGCCCTGGAAGCCAGCGCTTGAGGGGGCGGGTCCCCAGGGCGCCCAAACGGGGTCGAAGTCGATGCGGTCGGTGGATCGTGTTGCGTCGCCGTTGTATCGACGACGCGGCTCGATGTGGAGCCCCACTTTCTCCACGCCGACGTCGCCGATGCATCGCCGGCGCATCGCCGTGCGGCGCGATCGCCGATGCACCGTCTGGCAGCAGAGCTGCGCGATTCGGGTCGGGCGAAAGGGGGGGATTGGGAAAGGGGGGGGTACGAAATTTGCTGTACGCAGCTGGTTTCGGCCCCACCGAGGGGCCCATTCCTCGATGCATAGCCGCCTCCGGCGCCCGGAGGCGCCGGGAAAATCAGCTACGTGAGCTGATTCTCAAACCCCCCCTTTGCTATCCCCCCCTTTCGCCCGACCCGAGCGACAGTGATGAGGATTCGGGAGGAGGAGGAAGAGGGGGGGGATAATGAGGAGAAGAGGGGGAGGAGCAGGAGAAGGAGGAGGAGGAGGAGGAAGGACATGAGGATCCGCGTTTCTTTTTTTTGGGTTAGAGGCGCGCGGGCCCCGTCTAGAAGCCCCGCATCCTCCTCTCAGCCAGCTCTTTGCCGCGAGGGTTGCGCGGTGCGATTGCAATTCAGACTCGGGGCCGCCAGTCCCCTGACACTGGCTTGGGGATTGCGAGGAGGCTGGAGACACCAGCTGCCTTCGCCACGCGGGGAAAAGGCGAAGGCGCGGGGCTTGCTCCTGCTCCTGCCCCTGCTCCTCTGCCTGCAGCTGCCCACGTTTGCGCCGAATGCTTCTGCTGCTGCCCAGCCCACCTCTCTGCAATTATTATTGACGCTTCGCGTATCCCCACAGCCCATCCAGAAACGACGCCGAGGCGAGTTGAGGTGTCCAGGGAAGTGCGGGAGCAATGAGGGGACTGCCGAATCGGGCCAAGGAGGGATGAGGAGAAGGAGGAGGCTGGATTGATGGATGCATGAGGGAGTGGGGGGAATGATGATGAGTAGGAGGCAGTGGGGGAGGGGGAGGAGGAGGAGGAGGAGGAGGAGAAGAGGAGGAAGGAAGAGGGGGGAGGAGGAGATAGGGGAGGAGGAGGAGGAGGAGGAGGAGGAGGAGCATACGAGCCCTGTGATCCTCCATTGCTCGCAGGTGGGTGCGTGTGGGAGCACACGACGACGACGTGAAAACAAATCAAATATGGCAGGCTCTTGGACGCGTCCGCGGAGGGAGAAGCGCGGGGGGGCGGGCGGGAAGGGGGGGTGGGGGGATGGGAAAGAGGGGAGGGGGAGAGGGGGGATTGGGAGAGGGGGGGGCGCGGAGGAGGCGGCTCCGATCCTCCTCCTCTTCCTCCTCCTCCTCCTCCTCTTCCTCCTCCTCCTCTTCCTCCTACTCTCCTCCTCCCCGTCCTCGTCCTCGTCCTCGTCCTCCTCCTCCTCCTCCTCCTCCTCCTGCTCGTCCAGTTCATCCCCCTCCTCCTTCTCCTCCTGCTGCTGCGGCTCCTCCTCCTCTCCTCCTCCCCGTCCTCGTCCTCGTCCTCGTCCTCCTCCTCCTCCTCCTCCTCCTCCTGCTCGTCCAGTTCATCCCCCTCCTCCTTCTCCTCCTGCTGCTGCGGCTCCTCCTCCTCATATCCCTCCTCCTTTCCTCCGCCTGCTTCCTTCTCCCTCCTCCTCCTCGTCCTCCTCCTCCTCCTCCTACTACTACTCGTCCTCTTCCTCCTCCTCCTCCTCCTGTCGACCCGTTGCCCTCCTCCTGCTGCCCCCCCCCCTCCGGTCTGCCGTCTCCCTGTCTCCGCCTCATCCGCCTGCGCCCTCCCCGCCGCCTCCTTCTCCTCTCGCCTCCGTCCGCCGCCTCCTATGATACTACTACTACTACTAATTTACTACGCACACTACTACTACTACTTACGACGACTACCACTACCACACACACCACCACCACCACCACCACACACTACGAGACGCTACTATAGACGACGTGGAGACAGTAGACGATACTACTACGACGACGAAGACGACCGACGACGTACGCGACGAGACGACTACGACGACTCATACACTACTACGAACTTTACTACTACTACATACCTAATAACTATACCTACTACTACTACTACTACTACTACTACTACTACTACTACTACTACTACTACTACTACCCGCCCTCCCCCCCACCCCTCCATTGGCGATGTAATAGAAGACGCGCAATGCCGGTAATGCCGGCAATGCCGCCGAACCCAACTCGGACGACCCGGCGTTGTGGGACATGTGGGCAACTCAAAGAATTGGCAATTCTTTTCGAAGCTTGTGAGCTTTACGGATGTTGGCCAGGGCAAGTTTTACTTATTGTCGGACGGATGTTGCCGAAAAAGGTTTCAGGAGATCGAATAATCGGATTAGTGGCAATGCTTGGACGAGTATGGAGCATGATACGAGAACCTCTGGTACGCACATGGTCCACCTCAACCGAGCAGCCGTGGGATGCGGCCATGCGTGGCAATTCTAGTCTGAGAGAAGCATTCGTACGAGCGGTGCAGGAGGAGGTATCGCATCAGTTGAAGGTACATTGTGCTGATGGGTTGATGGACATCCAGTCTTTCTAGGATTCCATAGAGTGGCCATGTCTCGCGCGTTGTGCCCTCAATTTATCCTTCCCAGCTCGAGTTCTGCAATTGGAGTTGTTGATGTGCGTCGCCATGCGCTCTTTGGGACAGCTTGGAGCTTTCTCGCAGCCGTTCCAACCGACTCGGAGCATAGTCCAGGGTCTCCGCTCTGGGACTCGCTTCGGGCGATGCCTGACGCACCATGTCCTCTCCAAGATCACGGTGGCCCACCCGAGGCTTAGCCACCGCATTTGGATCGACGGTTTATCGCAGTTCATGAGAGGCTCGAGGAAGGATCTTCGCATCAAGATGGCCTCATGTCTGGTCGCCACCTGCAGGGCTCTGGAGACGCAGAAGTTGGCCGTCTCGCCCAAGTCCGTCATCGTCTGCACCAAGCTGCAAGATGCTGAGTGGATTTCGCGAGCAGTGCGACGCGCAGGCTTCACAGTACGTCCTAAGTTACAGGCAGGATATCTTGGTGTGGATCTCTCGTGTGGCGCACGACTGGCACGACAGACGCGGGCTAAACGGGACGAGAAAAGCAAGGGTATGAGCGCCAAGATCCGACGTTTCGCTTTTACGTCAAAGAGGTATTCCATCACACGACGGTTGGAGAAGCAAGGATCACAGGCTGCAGGTGTATACGGCCACCAGATATTTGGTACGTTTGGCGCGCGCATGACTCAAGCCAGGAGGAAGCTTGGCATGTCCTGCGCTGCGGCTACAAAAGGAAGGTGCCTCACCACTCTTTTGGCGCTGCGTGCAGGTGACCACGACCCTGGCATCAAACTACCCGTGGAGTGTCTTGATCTTTGGTTGCAATCGTGGCGCGAGCATCCTGACATGAGGAAGGGCATCCAGCAGGCTTGGACCTCAGTTTTCCAGCGCATGGTGCACCTACCCCCAGAGCAGCGTTCCCGTCATGTTCGCGGCCCTCTGTCGGCCGTGGTTCTTCACTTGCTAGAGGCAGGATGGGGGGTCCAGGAGGCGACAGGATGGACCATCCCAGCACCTCACCCGTTCGAGGGCGACCAGTGGCGTTTCGACGACAGCATGTACAGCGGCATCGACGCACTCGACAGGCACGACGGCTTTTTGGCAGATTTCGCTGATACGCTTCGTTCCCGCTTGTGGGTAGGAGCGAGTCGTCACTATGCTGGAGGCGGTCTGGAACGGGGAGCTGACTGTCGTTCCTATCGTATCCTTATCGATCAATTCTCGGCAGTCCCAGGGATTGGGCACCGACTAGGGGAAGTCATGGTTTCGTGTGCAGTTGGAGGTGTCTGGCCTAGAGCCAAGCGCAGAGCTGAAATGCCCAAGTATCGTGGTTCCGAGATGTGTGGACGTTGTGGCACGAAGGTCGAGACGTTGAAGCACAGAATTCAGGAATGCGAATGCAATACAGGCAGTTCTGCATATACCGGGTCTGATGAGTTGGTTTCACAGGCGCTGGTTCAGTCTGACTCTGACGAAGCGTTCTGGTTGCGAGGCATGATGCCCCAGCCCTGGACCGAGGTACCCTCGCCACCGTCCGAGGAGCGCTGGACGGTGACGAACAACGACGACGTGGCCGAGGGATTCCTGGGCGGCGGCACTACGGAGGAACCGCTGCTGGTGTTTGGCGATGCTAGCGGCGGTGCCGACACCAGCAGCCCGACCTTCCGCAGGGTGGGCCTGGGCATTGCAGTCTTCACCCAGCTTGAGCCGTCGGTGGAGCTGCTGACCACTGTGAGAGGTCCTCTCGTTGGGCCTCGCCAGGTGGTCGCTCGGGGTGAACTGCGAGCTCTCCTACTGGCGGTGCGGTGCACAGTGGGCGCGATCACCTTCGTGTCGGACTGCGAGTCGGTCGTGCAGGGTTGGTTCGAACAGAAGTTCCTGGCCCCATCGGGACCCGACGGTGACCTGTGGGCCCGCCTCGGCCAGCTCGTTGATGCAGCGCCAGAGCGCATCATCAGTGTCTTCTTCGTCAACTCCCACCTCACGGGGCGCGACGTTGTGCTGCGGCGGGCGCCGAGGTGGATGATCACGGGCAACAGCGTGGTGGACGAGGTGGCGGGATGGGCGGCCGCGGAGGCCAGGTTGCCCATCGCCATCCGCCACCGTGTGCTGATGCACGAGAGGCGTGCGAGGGTGGTCAGGATGAGGATCCTGAGGTC